ACGGTGGACCAATATAAATGCTGCAAGATATAATAATGAGATGTTTATAAAAGAAGAAAATAACCTCATTACTATACCTGATGGGTATTACAGCGTATGCTCACTCAATGATGAAATTTTTAAGCCTAATGGAATGAGTCTCACACAAAATGAGTCGAATTGGACAGTGAAATTCGACACTGGAGAAAAAGGTTCAATTTATTTTTATGGTAACTTACCAGTTACACTTGGATTTAGGCTTAAAACGGGAATTATGAGAACCAATGAAGCACGACAGGGAGATACATTACCCGATTTAGTTCCCTATAAAGAGTTGTGTATCCACCTTGATCAAATCAGTACGACGTATAATATTAAACTAGAAAGTCCTTCAACTCTGCTCAGATCTGTTCCAGTGAAAAATGAAAAATATAATAGCGGTAGAACGGAATCTTTCTCACCATTACAATATAAAAAAATGAAGCGGGGTATTATTTCAGACCTTAAAATTTCTGTATTAGATGTAAAACACCAACCAGTACATATAGGATACTTAAGTGTAACACTACATATTAAAAATAATGGTTGATGCATCAGGCCCTGGAACGCTCAGACAATGTAATACAATTGCGCTTTCCGATCTCGGAGACACGGAAGGATTCGATAAACCCGGTAGCAATGGTAAGTTATACGCTTTACACTTACACGATAATGTATACAAGCGAAAAGAAGTCACATTTACGGGTAATCTAGAAGATTTAAGCGATGTCAACGTCAGTAGACTCCTTAAAAACACTTCGTACAATATTATTCGCAACGACGATAATAAATGGACTATGGTCGACACAAACATCGAGTGGCTACTGAATATCGTCATTACCCCACCGTATGCGATGATGGGTAAGGGCCATAATTTAACTAAGATAATAAATAGTGGCATCGTACTCGCGGCTTATATCCCATCAAAACGAAAAAGTGTGTTAGTCACCCCCCTGCCAGAAAACCCAGGTCATATGTTATATAGTCGTCCGGCCTTAAAATGTTAGTTTACATTTGGTTACAGAATTCGATGATATTAAAGTTAACTTGAGTGCAATACCTAATATTTCTACTCTTATTATTGAAGTCTTGTTCGGAGATGTAAATGGCTCAAGAAACACGAGCGTCGACGTTGTAGTATTATTCATATCGGAGCATCGCCCGTTGCAACCCTCGAGGGGGTTCAAATTATTAAAAGTGGTAGTATTTCTCTTACTAAGATATTCTTGCCGTATAATATACATTTGATAAGGTTGATGTATAGTCTCAAAACATTTAAGCAAGACCAATTAAAGACTATTATATGATCGTGATATACACTATGAGTTTATATCCAGCGCTCGATGAAGCAATTGAAAAGATTGAAACTGTTGATGGATTTCGATTACATCAAATAAGCGACATAAAACATCGAATAGAGAAGGATAGGGAGTTGAGACTTGGATTGTATAAAAAGTATCGCAGAGCCGTGAATGCTCTCGACGGAGTTGACACCGCGCTTGTAGCAGCTGGCATGGGACTCGGTGTAGCAGGTGTTGGTTTACTATCAACTATAATCGCCGCGCCTATCGTGCTCGGCATGGAAATAGCCGCTGGAGTCTCGGGACTGGCAGGAATAGCGATAAAATTTATTTCTCGTAGGTTACAAAAGAAAGCATTAAAACACGATAGTATTCAGATACTCGATGAAGCAAAGTTGAACAGCATTGAGGATCATATTTCAACAGCAATGGTCGATTGTAAGATATCCGAGGATGAGTTTCGTTTAGTGTTGTCAGAACTCACCAAATACAACGAAATGAAGCAGGAGATTCGATCAAAATCTCGTAAGACCAGTGGTATTAGTGAGGATGAGAAAAAAAAGTTCATAGAACAGGGGAGGCAACAAGCGCGTCAATTATTCCGTGCCAAAACCAAAGAACTGGTTGGAGATTAAAAATAGATTGCTTACTATCGTTTGATCACATTTAGACAAATGCTTACATACATATATATAATAATGGAGATCGAAAAAGCTATTAAATGGAGAGAATTACCACAAGGTTTTTATTTTATCAGTGATGTCAAACCAACCAAATACGGTTATCAATTGTTTCTTATCAATGTACAAGAAGAGTGTAGTTATATAGTCTGGTCTCCTAGTAAAATGAATGAAGAACTTAATAAAAATGTTGAATATCGCTTTATCGATAAAAATAATGAAGAATATTTTTATTACCATTTAGGCTCATCTAAAGCAATGATTGGCCCCAGGTATTGGTGAGCTAGAGCCAATTTAACTTAATCTTATGACTATCATTGAATCGCATCATCATTTACGCATAAAAAATGCCACCTGTAGTAGCAGTATAGGTATATGAATCCGGCGCCAGTGGAAGTGGTCCAGAACCCCCATTACCTATACTACTGATCAGGCACCGGTGAGCTGTAGGATGTCCGCTGACAGTTCTGGCATGTGGCAGATCAATGTTGGGGGAGACGATCTTTGGGCAGATCAAGGTGAGTCTGAGTGGAGCTACCACCCGAGGGAGCCACCATGTCCGGCCTGGACAGAGCCTGTGCCAGAACATGCTCTCAACCTGATGAGTGAGTCCGAAATGAGAAATTACATGAAACATTGTGTTGGTACCGGAGGTCTACCGTTTCCATCCCCTGTACGTGGATGGACTACAACATGCGTCTGGTTGAGAAATATCTGTAGAAACACATTGCACTGCTCCCCATAGGTCAATTGACCTAATTCTGGTCGGAGATGTTTACAGTTGGAGTACTTGACACGTGACATGTAAATCACCCTGCGCAGTAGCCGAGAAAACCGAGAAAACAATCTCCACACAGAGACAATCTTCAATGAACTGTGTGGTACACATACAAGTGGTTATACCCGAGTGCTGCAAAAACCGTGGTAAATCCGGGAGGGCCATGGAAGAGCCTCTTTGAGGAACGCTGGTGCTAAGGCAGGGTAGAGGAGTGTTGGTGCCGGAGATGTCGACGAAGAAGACTGTGGATGTCGTCATTGGATGGCAGGGCCGGAGCAGAGCAAAAACTGAACACCGTGATATGAGAGACCGGTCAATGATGATTCCTAGAAGTGGGTACCCGGTAGCCTATGACGATGGGGTGAAACAGGCTAAATGAGCCTGAACAATGAAGATCTGCCAGTTCTGATACAGACACTGTCCACCAGAAGCCATGTTTTGATGGAAACCTAGCACGTATTGGCCAAGCGGCTTGTAGGAGGCTTTGAAGAAGCGGCTTCCAACAAACATGTGAGCTCCTTCAGCCTCATCCAAGGAGTGAACCTGCAGGTCACCTCTCCTAAAGCATGGCGCTTTAAACGACGGGGTTAAGGAAAAACGCAAAAGCGCAAAACAAAACCTTGTCCAGCCAACAAGTGTGCAAGTTGAATCAGACCAAATGTCTACTGGTTGAAAAGATTCCTACCAGGAGGTTGAACGATAGTCACGATCCCTAAGAGTACGGGAGAGCAGCTATAGGAGCAGCGATAATTGAAAAAGACGTGGTTTCACCTTGCCTCTCCGCTGTAACGACATACGGGAGTCCGTAATAGGAGATGCTAGTGGCGACGGTAAGGCAATGGGCCGATGGCGCCATCAGTGCCACTTATGCCAAAGTAGAGTGGAGGATCGACTGAGATACTCAGGCTCCGGGAAGGCGTCGGTTGCACCAGTGCCTCTCTGTTGTGACGATCTATGAGAGTCAGTAATAGAAGGAGGTGCCAGTGGTGCCGGTGAGGCAATAGCCGATGAGTAGGGTAGAGGATCGGTTGAGATACTCAGGCATCGAGGGTGCCGGGAGCGCCGGAGGCACCACAAAAATATTTGTAAAAAACATGTCATGAATAAAGTTTCTTCAAACACTTTTTTATAATGTTATATTTAACTTTCATTGTCATATGTTTCAATGACGAAATTGCCTGTTCCGAGTCTGTTGGCCATCAAACATTTCCCTAACAGTTTCATAAACATTTCCTTTGTATGCAAAATATAAGCCTCCATAAAGTCTTGTAATCTCTTCATTAGAACAGTCAGGGTCACTGCCGGGAACATCATATTGCAGCCAAAAATATCCGACATCAAACAACTGTATTTCTTCTATTAGATGCTGGGCTGTCTATAAACTTTGCGAGAGCCTTTGACCAGATGTGTATTAGAGACATGTCTTGTATTAGAGACCCAGCATGTAATAGAGGAAATATCAATACATTTTACAGTTCCTATTGGTGGTCAATGGGCAGCAATTTGTTATGAATCGAAATGTAGGCTATCGATGTATTCATGCGCACGTTTTTTGTGTGAAAAGGTTTAACATATTCAAGAGGGGTTTCTGCAGTAAGGTTCAAACAGCTGGACTCACTGTATTTAAGAAATAAACGACGAGTTGGAGTTGTTATTTTATTTGTTATGAGATATCAACATTATGTACAAGCTTAAAAAATATTTACACGTGTGTAAATTATGATAACTCCCTCAATAGAATCCAACCCCAGCAGTGTCAGACATGTCCAATTTATGATGGATGGGTATTTCCCGCATATTCTCATAATCCTCACGTCGATTACCTGTACCTTTTCTCACATTACCAATTGTCATATCTCTTGTCATCGCTTTCGGATGCGATCATTCGGCCATTGCTCTGCCCAGCTATACATTCATGGGGAACAACTCACTAGGGACGCCTCTCAAAAATAAGGTTGTCCAATATACGTGATCATCAAGTTTCGAACCCCTTGAAATGACGTCATGATAAAACAATGTCTTATCGTGAAATAAACCCCGCTTCATTCTTCATTGTTCTTTGTGATTTATCGCATAGCTGTCTTATATAATACAATAAGGTTGAAACAGCTGGACTCACTGTATATCACAATAATGAACCAGAAATGCATTGGTTGGAGCTGAGGATGCAAGTATAAGGTAAATGGTTTATTTCCGAATAATTATTTCTTAAAGTGCAGTTACCTGAATCTGAAGATGTTGTGTCCTGTAGTTCCTCTCATAGAATACAACGTCTTTGTTTCTGGACTTGAAGTACTTCTTCAAACATGTCTTATAGGTAACATAGATAAGGAAATGTTCTCCCTGTTGTTTCATCGGTTATACAGTCACAATCTGACAATATATCAAACTTTTCAAACAACCCCTTTCAGTGTTCTGGCTACAGGATAGTGTGTTCTCAAATCTTGGGGAATTCGTTATCACCACAAGAGACTAAGAGACAACTGGTACCCAAACACAGTAATGTATACTGAACTGCAAAAGAAACGTCACCCCAAGTAACAAGTAGTTGTCATTTAAATATCTGTGTAATTTTTGTCAAAGTTTCTAAAATTTAACATAACCTTGTCCGGAAAAATGAAATTTGATGATAAAAATACAAAGCAGATGACAATAAAACTGATCGCTCAAATGCATCATGGTAACGGCCATGGTAACCAACCAAATGCACGTGAGTTCCGTGCAGATTGAAATGAACATGCGTTCCCCCATTTCTTGCCCTATAAAAATCCACCCAGAACCGATGTGCACTACTTTTATTACTGCGGAATGTCGGGGAATCCCAATATTACAGTCGAGGGAATTCCGTTTCTGCTCACGTGTATCGTCATGCACAGGACATTTAGCGACTTTCATGCATATTCATTGTCCAAACAACCCTTTGAAACCGAAGGCCGAGAATGAATGAAACAGCAAATGTGCAGGCCCGCTGGCCTCGGTTCAACTTTCATGTCTTCGGGTTTCATTTCTAACTAGCATTTCTCCAACTGTGTTTCCCGTAAGGGAAGTAATGTATGAATCTTGCAGTAACTGACCATGTTATTTGAAACAGCTGCCTCCTCTCGGACATATTTCTTCCGGTTCGTTACAGTCTGACAGTTGCAGTTCTTTCACCCCTTGCCCTTATTGACAGGTCCAATGAACATTGTTTTGATCCCATTCTCTGTTGATTGGCTACTGACTGTGTAGGCGTGTCAAGTTATGTGCATAAATTAAACGATCACCTGATTCATGTCACGCCACTGTATGTATTCCTACACCTGGAATGTTTATCAATCATTTTTGTCTGTTTTGATATATAAAACTGTTTTTGGTTAAACTATTGCAAATAAAACATGTTTTAGGTTGTCGAATTTAATTATAAGCATTGACTGTGTATTTTTTTTGGTTCATTGAGGTATGGATTGAAAAATCGATATGCAAACTTTTGTAAGAATCCGCTAAGAATTTGACACTTTAATTTCAACCTTGATGATCAGTTTTGCCAAGTTTCATCTTTTCAGTATGTCTCAAAGTATGTTTACAGCTTTTGGACAAATAAGGTTTCTCATGTATCTATCCATGGTGACGTTTCTTTAGCGGTTTAGTATATTATTAGAATGTGCATACAAAAATTTACCTGCTGGTTAACCTACTATAAATCTTAGAATAAATGCCTGTTCAACTGATCTAACCAAGAGACACTGATGAAGGGCTTTTGAAACATTATTGAAAAAAACACCAATAGGCTACAAAACAATATTTTTCTAAAAAATGAGGTTACCAGGCCTTTCCAAAATAAAGGCTAGCATGACTCTTATTTAATGTTGTATGGTGAGTCATGCTCGCAGTATTTATGTGTGCAGGGAGGCAAACATCAAACAGGAAAACCCGGATGCAAGGCATCAACAGGGCTCAAATTTAAAATGCTTTCTGTGAGCATACAAGTAGGTCAACTCATGAGTGAAAGCAACGCAGCAATACTTATAAAACTCCACTGATGTAATCCTATTCTTCTCCAGTCGGGATTGAATCTCATACATGGGGATGTTATAATGTCCTCAGAGTTTTATATATACAAGTTCTGGTGATATTGTAATATGACAATATCACCAGCTAGAGATTTAATTTGCATTTGGACAAAATGTAGAAAAGGAACTATGTTAAAAGGTCTAACATTAAATGATAAAAGTTTTCTTTATATCTTAGTGGATCAAATTTGCAACATTTCATATCTATAGCCTAGTGAATGAACCTGTTCATGGAAAGAATGTTTGAAACATAAAATTATTGATAAATGTTGTTTTGTATTGTTTATAAGTTAGGTAAGTTTTTAATCACATTTAAAACATTCATTCTCAAGATGATATGTTAGGCCTGACATACCTCAGTTTTATCCCTCTCATAGAAACCCTTGTACATACTTTATCCTACACAAAATGGATGTTGTACAAAGACATGGCCTCATTTAAAGTTTTTGCCCAGGTTAACTAAAATGACAATATCCTAAAGGTATGTGTCTAGAATGTGTGACATCCATCCACTGATATAAAAGGATATGAAATAATCTCTCGCTGAACGTCACTTGGAGATGTGACATAGGACTGGACATGTTCAATTGGTAGAATGAGCACATGGTCCTCCACCAGGCCACCTTTAGCTAAAGCCAGGTAAGTCTGAGAAAGAGAAAAAGATAACATAAAGCACACAACAAATACCTCCAAACTATATAGATCGAGTCAGATGTTCAACTGCCCATCAAATGATCATGTGGACCAATTGAAACACTGAAAATATACTGAACAACAAAAGCTCCTGTCACATTGAATAAGGTTTAATGCAAAGTTATGTTTTTTACCAAATCTGAAACAATTTCGGTTTGCAACAGATAGAAGACTCCTCTAGGTGTTCAAATGGTTTAATTTGCCATACTGACTTCAGAAAATGCGTGATTTCATAAAAAACATGAACATGCCAAAATGTCAATTTACAAATCAATAGCGTGTGTGTCCACCTCTGGTTTGCGATGCAAGCAACACATCTTCGTCTCATGGAATGGACCAGACGTCGCACAAAGTCCTGTGGGATATCTGTCCATATCTGCTGGAGCATGTTTCAAAGTTCCTGGAGTGTCTGTGGAACATGTGGTTGACGTCGAAGGCGCCGATCCATCTCATCCCACATGTGCTTGATTGGTGTGAGATCAGGGGAGTGAGCCGGCCAGGGGATGACATTCACGTTGTTTTGTTCAAGAGAATCCTGAACAAGTCAAGCAATATGAGGCCGGGCGTTGTCATGTTGATAGGTAATGGGTGGGCCATGACGATGCAAAAACGGTAGAACAACAGGGCCGATGATCTCGTTGCAGCAGCACTGTCCATTGAGATTTCCCTCTACCAAACGGGTCCTCTGTCTTGCTGTAATCCCTTCCCATACCACAACACTGCCGCCCCCGAACCGATCTTCTTCCATGACACAATGATTGACGCAACATCCACTTCGACGTCTTTACACTCGAATCCGTCCATCGCTGTGGCTGAGTTGAAAACGAGACTCGTCAGTGAATAGAACTTGTCCCCACTGCATGGCCGTCCAGCGTAGACACTGTCTGCACCACTGTAGACGTCCTTGACGGTGGTTTCCTGTCAAAATGGGACGTCTGGCGGGTCTTCTGGCGACAATCCCTGCAAATCTGAAGCGACGACGTACGGTTTGTGAAGATATTCATCGAAGGCCAGGGATGCTTCTTGCAGTCACTGTTGCTGGCTGGAATCGATTTCGTAGGTGTGTTGTTCGAATCCAGTTGTCTTGTCATCCGAGGATGGTCTCTGACTGCATTCGCCTAGTGCCAACGCTGCCATAAACACCAAATGGTGTTTCTGTGGACGTTAAATTGTCTTGCAACATCATGTTGACTCGATCCTGCTTCAAGGATACCAATGGCTCGCAGACGCTCATTTATCGGACAGGTGTGGCATTTCGTAATGTTGAATTATTGCGTAATTTTGTTGTTTTCCTGAGTGGTTGTTGTCAGCACGATGCTAAACAATGCATATGGAATCCCGTTAACGCACATGTTTTTATACCCATTTTTGGGTAGTGAAATGCATGGGGCTTGCATAAAAGTAAACTTTTGCAATGAATGCATGCTTTTCTGTAGCAGTTGCATTTTTGTGACTTGATTCCATACATGTACTACAATATTGAAAACCAAACTTTACTTGTTTGAAAAATACACTAAAATATTGGTGTCACAGGAACTTTTGTTGTTGAGTATACATTTCCAATGCCAATGTGTCATACATCACTGTGCAGTGACCATATGAACCTCTGTAGATTTAACAGACATTAAACCCTGACTCCTTTGTCTTTAATTATGCATTGATTAGCTGAATTGTTATTTTGGCATCACTTGGTATTAACAAAACGTAGATATCATGGCTTTGTTTGATCAGAATTGCCCGTCAACAATCAACATGGGTAAGGGACTGGTCATTTATCAAAGGAGTGGGGCCAAGATTGAAATGGCCAAATCACAACTGGAGCTTGAAGCGACTAAGCTTGTCGTCTAACTCGATCAGGGGCTCAGACTCGCTGACGTGGTGGCATGTCAGTTTATTCCAATTGCATGAATCAGTGCTCATGATATCAATCACTGGATTGTCTGGTCCAGACTTGACTATTTACAGACCGCTGTCATATAGCTGAAATATTGATGAGTGAGGCGTTAAACAACAAACATACAAAACATTTGCAAACCACATAAGTACTTGATATGTCGGACATACGATAGATGCTATAATATCCAGCAATTTATCAACATCAGCATTGTTTACAATTGACATGAATCATCACAAATCCAACAGAAGAATCAGTAACAGATATCTGTGACTAATGCATGGATCTAGATTGGTTGCAAATACATGAATTAAATAGGCATGTGACAAGAGATTCTTGATTTGAAATTGAATATTAGAACATATGTCCGTGGGGCCATTTCAAATATTAAGGAAATACAGGTTGATATTATTATGGTTCAAACCAGCACACCATTTGGAAGATTTTGTTCATTCAAAGAACAAAACCTTCCAAATGGTGTGCTGGTTTTCTTGGGGGAATTAGTCAGCAAAGAGCCGGAGTCACAGGAGACTAATCACAATTTTATTTACAAGAACAATTAACAATGAACAATATCTTAACTATAGCTGTGGATGCCGCAGAGAGTCGGTACAACCCTCTGGGCTGTGGGAGAGAGGTCTGCTTGGTATGAGCGTCAAACCCCATCTGCTTAACATTTTGCTTCTGTATGTATTTAACAAAACTTAGAACAATAAAAAGAAATATGATTGGTTGATACACGATGGGCTGTGCCTTATGGTTAATGAATGGCTAGACAGAGGGGAATACTTAATCCTGTTAATCCTGTTGGACTGGCACTAATCTTGTTGACATACTTACTGGACGCTTTGAAAGAGATTATGGTTGTACTATAGACGAGCTTGTACAGGGGCTAATCCTTAATGAGTCTAAATTGAAGTAATTGCTGAATGTTATTCTAATATAGGTGATGACAGATTTACTTAAATAAAATAGTTCAAGGCATTTTTAAGACTATGTAGACAAATCTTATCTTTTGTCTTATTGGATATTATGTCTGGGAGATGGGATCTTGATACCTTAGGCTAGTATTTATCTGAAAGCTTTAAATCTATTAACTATGTAGACATATCTTTTGTCTTATTGAATAGTATGTCTAGGAGATGTGTTCTCGTTACCTTAGACTAGCATCCATCTAAAAAGCTATGACTGAAATTACTGATATTTTGGATATGCATTTTACCTGATGATATGTATTACTTGCTAAACTATAATTATATGAAATGTTGTATAAATGTTACACAATAATAACTTATAAAAGCCCTTGCTGTGGATCTAATTATTATATGAGAACTTAGTATAAATGTTATATCATGATAACTTCCCCTCCGTCTGAAAAAGTTTGGACCCTAAACGTGTAAAATAAAATAATTATGGCTTAGATGGACAATGTATTAAATTAAACTGGTTGTATAGTAAATAACAAATATTAAAGAGTCTCTTTGGTATACAAGAACATTTGTTTTAAGTTCGGCTGTCATCAGGGAATCTGGATGTGGAGCTGGCTTGTCTTGGCACTCTGTACTGGTGGTTTATGGTGATGTAGGAGGCCTTGAGTTCCACATCCTGGTTTGAGATTTAGGGTAGTTGGCTGTGTCCATTATCCGTTATAGAGGTTTTACATGGAAAACAAAGAAAAGAGAGTTAGCATGTACAAATAATATGTCGTATATAAAAATTATCCATACTTCCTCAGTTTGTATGTAATAATTAGAAAATAAAACAAATAAAGTAAGTATGATGTAAAAATCAGTACATAATTATTTCACAAAAGATGTCATGACCAGGAAGAATGTATTGGCGGCAAATTACACTAAGTATATCATGGATCAATATTTTGGATACAATCATTAGGTATATCCTATATATACATACATGTGCATGTGCATTTAACAAGTGCATTGATTAATTACATTAATAAGGTATAAAAATATTAAAGTGTTCGAACTTATGTATATCCTTTTTAGAATTATTTGTTAGTGGCTTTCGTTACATTTTGGTTTGCTTTACTTTGATTTGGTTCATCTCAATTTGGCTCGATTCATTTCGATTCGGTTCTTTCCAATTCGGTTTGTCTCGCTTAAGTTCGTTTGGTGCGGTTCGTTACGATTCACAGTACGGGTTGCTTCTGTTTGGTTTGTTTCGATTCGTTATGTTTCGCTTCTGTTCGGTTTGGTTCATTTCACTTCGCTTTTGAAATTGGTTGATCAGGTCAATGCTCAAAATTTGTTGTGATACAAATAACTCAGAAGATCAGGCTGATGCTATTTGTTCACAACTGGTGAGATTAGATAACCCAAAGTGAAAAGAATGGACACAAATAAACAAAACAAGATACAGCTAATAGCTGTTTGGTGATTTGCACCGTTTATTCAGGAGATTTTGTATTTTGTGTAAAAAATATATGTTCATTTGGCGTTTACAGAGGTATATGGGGAGTTGATCCTAGTGTGGGATACTAGGTCTATGGGACATGTTTGTAGCACGGTAGTAAAAGGTATTGATGTCTCCATAGTCTTTATGTGGAAAAATTACCCTCTTGGATTTTTAGATTGGTTGTTGAGACGGATTATATGGATGATAATCTTCGGGCTCATAGAACCACTGGGAGAGATCCTTCCAGGTGTCATCAAGGTACCGCTGTATGAGGTGGGGAGGAACACTTTCAAAATAGTGTGTATGGTAATCATGGTTATCTTTGTTGTGGGTATGTGAGGTCTTAACGTAGCAGTCTCCTTGAATAATTTCAATGCCCATGACTCTCTTTATTCCATTACTTTGTACTTCTCGTAGGTGTTTTGGAATAAATAGATATGGTTTGACATCTAATTCTATGCATGGTTTGGTGTTGTCTTGCTCGACATTCCCTGACATTGTATTCCCTGACAGACCATTGACTGATGCATTGTCTTGTGCTGATTCCTTTTGGTAAAAAAACTTATGATTCAGTGGATGTTTTCGTCGTTTTCCTGACATACTTCTTTTGAGATGAAATTCTTTCCGAATGGAATCTGGAATG